TAAAGAAAATTACATCTTCCTCTGGTTTTAATGTGATCTGAGCGTAGACCTCATCTGTTTCATGCTCTGCCTATACATCAAAACAGATTCAGGTGAATTCACAAGAAGAGGGGACAAGCAAGAATTATAATCAAGCTTTTACCTTTAACATCACACTAAGAACTTGACAAAGTATCTTGGGAGGAAGTTTAAAATCAGGAATTTTCTCTGATTCGATTCCTTGATTAGTTGAGGCCACAAGCTGCACAAAAAAACCCACAATTCAGAAAGAGAATTGGAGTTTTAAAAAAAGATTAACTTGGTAAAAAGACATACTTGTTCCATGTGACCCTGAGGGAAGTAGTAAACTCTCTCTCCAGCAAGAGGAACATCCACTAATGGACCTGCACAAGCCTTCCACAGCTCTGTGTATAACTGATCATGATAAGAACCTGAAAATCAAACAAACATACAAAACTTTAATACTTACATTTCAGAAGCCCAACAAGAAAAATTTAAACTTTGAGAAGCTACATGAGCAAAAACAGATTAAAAAACAGAGTCAACTCAATGGTGAAGATTAAAAGAGAAATAAAACTTTGACTCACTTGGGAAAGAACTTCTGGACTCATCTCCATCTACATTCGCCATTGAAGAACCCAGAGGAAAGATACAAGAAGAAGAAGAGGAAACAAGAAGCCCTTCACGCGCTAAACACTAGGCTTAACCCTCATGAAAAAAACACAGAGAGAGAAGAAAGAAAGAGATATTAAAAGCTAAAAACTTTTTGCTTCTTTTTTTCAGGACACCAACGGACTAGTATGTCCGTATTCATTACAGAAAAACATTCAGACACTAGTTGGATATTAATCTCTCTCTCTCTCTCTCTTCTTCTGCTTCAATCCTTTTCTCTTCTCCTCTCAGATTGCGTGTTGTCTTGCCTCAAGAATCATAAACTTCTCGCCGTTTTTTCCTCCACCTTTGCTTACTTCTCTTTACCTAACCTCGATCTGCAGCAAACCAAAGCTGCTTCCTTCTTTTTTGTTTGTTGAAGAAGTCTCTTACGGTATCATGCAAAAGATTCACACTCTCGTATGTATATGTGAGTATATCTATATATATATAAATAAATATATTCTTCTCTTTATTAGTTAAGATTCTGTGAACCTGTCATTTACACCCTCTGTAACTTGAGTTGAAACTCATTATAATACTCATTTATTGAAATTTTCTAAATTGTAAGAAAAAAGATTGTCATGTCAGCTCTAAAAAGGAAACCAAATTTTGTTTCCAATATTATATTTTGTTTTTTGTTAGAATTTCCAAAATACTCTCACCATTTTTATTATATGTCATTTTAACATGCCCTTTTAATATTATGCACGTGAATTTAAACTATTAAATTTTTATATTTTCTAAATAAAATATCGTTAATTATTCACCTAAATACAATTTGACCAATAATAAAATATTAAAATAGACTGTGATTAGATAACATAAAATTGTCATTCAATAAAAAACAGGGGAAGTATAAAACTGTATTTAAGACTACAAAAGTACAGAAAAGGTAAACGAAGAATAACGACGTTACATAATTATTACGGAGCTGCTTTGATTGATCTATCTTTAACTACGATTTTCAAATTTTAACCATGGTTTAACTTGCAAAACGTACGGTGATGCATTTTAACAAGTGAGGATCACTCTTAGCCGTCCGATAAAGACAATGATGTAGCCTAAACGTTACAACTGATCCCGTTTCCATCAAGACTTGACGGTGCCGTTACCCACATCGTCTATTTTCCTTATGTCTGGATCGTGGCAGGCAAAGGTGTCGGCTTACCCCGGCGAGGCTTTTTTAAAAAAAAAATTCTTGTGTAAGTTAATTTTTGTATTGTTACATAATGTGCCATTAATCGATGAATCTTAGATTGGACCCACTGTTATGGCTAACACCCACACTCGCACAAGCCAAAGCCATGACTCTTTATGGGACGAGCGTCTTGGGAACCGAGTGAGTTATGTTAGCACGTGCTGAGTCAGTTCGAGAGTTTCTTTTTACTCGTTTTTTTCACGCGCTCTCCGTTACTTACAACAAATAAGAGAATATTAGTTTTTTTTTTTAATCACCAGAGATTATATTAGTAAAATCTCTTTTTTTGTCAACAATTATTTATTTAACCTAAGAAATACTCCAAGTCTATTCCATTTTCTATTTTTATAGAGTGAAAGATGAAATTATTCCTTGAATTAAATAATAGTTCTATTTTTGTTTATTATTTTATTTTCAATTCTTTAATAGCATATAATTTTGGAGTAAAAAAATATAAATGGTAAAAAAATATTTACTGGAGAAGGAAGGAGAGTGGGAAGACGCGCTTCTGAAGCGAGGATGAGAAGAGAAAAGTGAATGTGAAAGCCATGCTGAAGTGTCGGAAGAGAAAGTTGTCCCCACTCCGACACGTCAGAGTTAGAGAAATTGCCACGCTGTTAGGTCGTATTCAAGAGTGACACGTGTTAAATGCTTACTTGTCCTAGTAGTTTGCTCAATTACAGTCACAGAGGAAGAAAACCTGCTCTCTCCCATGAACCTTTCTCTTCCTATTTTATCTTTTTTCTTATTTCTTTGTTTTTCCCGATGATAATGAATGCGATACTAGTCTACAACGTTGTGTATACATTTTAAATTCCATATACTATTATATGGGAATATTTGCAACACGGCTCTTATAAATATTGGGTTTCAAATCTTGAAGTTATACCTAGCTAGAACGCTGGAAGACGTTTCACAACAGATGAACATATTATTTACTTTTTTTAATATTCCCTTTAATATTTTAAATACTGTATGATAAATAATGAAAAAGTATAAGACAAATTAGCTCAGCTTAAACTATTTGAAAACTACTCTTCATGTTTTAGATTGAACCGTAGAACGGTATTTTTTGTTTACGCCATTCCAAAAAAATATGTTACACCATTTGGTTATCCTCTAGATATCAGTCTATCCACCAATCAAAAATATACTAGAGTTATTTTGTCAGTAACTACCGTAAAGTTATCTGCCTGGTCTACGAAACACAATCACAATATTTATGCATCACTTTATAAAACTATACGAACGCATTACAAACCGCAAAATGAATCTGCGCAAGTAGGCTAGTGGTGGGACGATGTCCAGTTAAGAGAGCTTCGACCTCAATACTCTGGTTTCGAATCTCCACAACTGCAAACATTTGCCCAGGTCACGAGGGTATTTATATGGGCTGCTCTCGTCCTTCAGATCATTTCGCGTAACCAGGGACCCTTAAGTGGAGGCTTAAAAATCCTGTAATAGCATGAGTTTAGGCTCGGTGAGCTAGTCGATCATGTTTAGTGGTCGGATACTGAATTATCATTACAAACCGCAAAATGTTTAAACAGTGCAATATATGCTATTGTACGGGGAAATCTTTGCAAAGTGGCGTGGAGATTTGAAAGAATATAATTTCATCACCAAAGATGAAATCAAAGAGTAAAATATAACACTATTAGAAAAGGCAAGAGTATGAAATTACCATAAATAATTATTCACATCAATTAAATTAATTTTCAAAGTGATTATTTATCCTGCATGGGGTTTCATGCTTGCATATCACAATGGCTAATCTGGACGTCATTTTAGCTGCGTTAAAAAAAATACCTTTTCTCGAGCATCTACTTTTAAGCCTTGATTAATTTAACGGATATTCTCTCAAGTTGTAAATATTTAAACACAAAAGACTCATATAGCAAAATAAGATAAATATGATTTGGAATATATGACCATTCAAAGTGAATATGAACCGAACCCATGAGTGGGAATAATAATGATACATATACTGTTAGTTAATTAACTTTTATTAAATAATTGCTTAGTGGTGTAGTGGAATCCATTACACAACATTTTTTATTTTTGTTTAGTCTTCTTAATTACTGTTATGCTACATTGATTATTTGATAATATAGTTAATCACTTGTTTAGTCATAGTCGTCACTGGCCACGTCAGTAAACAAGAATAAACGAATATGCTTATATTATATTAATCATATATTGAATTAATCAACGATAGTACTCATTTGTTATATTGCTGAAAGGAGAACGAAAAGTTGTCGAAACATACCATTGTGGTCCTATCTTCTTTTAAAATATTAAATACGAAAACAAGGTTATAATTATTAATTATGTTGGTTTTTTTCCTTGTTCTAAAAAGCCCCCGAGTAGGCGAGTTTGCGGCCGATTAGTCGTGAATCGGGAGGTCACCGTGGCGAGAAGTGGCTGATCGGCATTTATTATTATTTCTGTTAACAATTTAATTAATGAATGGATGGCTTTAACTGAATCCAGTCGAGAAATAAAGATTTTTGTTCAACGTCTTAGCCTTGTAATAAATGTATCTCTCAAAGTTCATACGTACCCCCAAAATATCTTCAACGTATATTTTTATATTTTCTTAAAAAGATAAATTTCTATTATAAAGATGATTTGCTAAGATGTATGATTATATAACAAAATTTATCTATTTTATAAGTATTACTCCCTCCATTCTATAATAGAAGATTTTTGCGAAGATTGATTAGCCAATAATATTAAATTATATTATTTATAATTGATTGATTTATTTTTAAATTATATTACTAATAATAATATCATTAAGAAAAGTAAGTTTCTTCATTCATGTGTTTTAACCAAAATATCTTTGATTATGGAACAGAAGAAATATTTTTTATTTCTATATTTAAAGATAAAAATAGTAAATTTCTATATATATTTTTTATAATAAAAATTATATTATTATCAATACATTGAACGAATCCACTCCTATTCTAAAAAAAACAGAGGTGGATTGGAAATGATCTAAAAAGATCACATATATATATATATAGTTATTGTAAATTATTTTGTACATTTTCACCATTTGGCCATTAACCAAATATCTTCTCTGTCTTTCATAATATTTGTATATATGATATCAGAATTTTGTAGAGTTTTATATATATATATATATATATATATATATATATATGTATATATTATAGCACCGGAAACTTCTTTATATACATATTGGCATATTGATTTCTTTTGGTTTTGGGTGGAGCCTAAACAACAAAATTTTAGGGATAATTATTTCAATAACCGTAGCATAAGTCTTGTTAGACAATAAACAAATCTAAATTTTTAAAAATTCTTACTGCGCACTCATGTTGTATCTCTATTAATATGATTTTAAGCATTTTCATTTGTATAACTAGACTAAATTTTCCTTAAACAATTCATTTGCAGATATACCAAAAACATAAAAATTGTCTCTTGCTTCTCTCAATGGGTAAGAGAGGTCTCAAATCTCTAAGCCCGTTAATGATCAAGATTCACGACTAACTCAGTCTTAATAAAGGTTATCTCTATGATCAATAATTGTAGTCTGTTAGAATATCATGATTTGCCAGAAACATATATACAAATACCGACTTTTAGAGGTCATGTCATAATAATTCAAAACATCAAACGTAGTTATAATTAGCACGGTGCGTGACCTAGTACGAAATCGTATATACATGTGTGTGTGTGTGTTTTTTACCATATGGAAGAGTATGAGGATGATCTATTCAAATATGTTTCTCATTAGTCATGATCAATTCATATGTAATGATCAAATATATTTAATGCGGAACATATATGATCACACATTTTGTGTGGTAGATATATGATCGTTAATTTTGTTGGACGTTGCCCATTTATGGTTTTTCTTCATAATTTACTAAAATCATTATGTAAATTTCATACATATGTGGCCGGGATATTGTAAGATATATATTGATTGGTACCAGTATTAGTATCATTTCACATGACCAAGAAAAACTGCTATACATCAAATATGAAAAAGTGGAATTTTACATTATACATCAAAGAATTCAAATGCTGTAATCATAACATTCGCACTCTGTGGCTCTCTCTCTCTCTCTCTCTCTGCTTCTTCTCCCAACCTGAGGTGGAGTCACGCAGATTGTCAATTATCATGGAGTATTTTGGTAATTTCGAATAAGAAAATTCGTCCGTACACATAAAAGATTAAAAGGGTCACTTTCGACCTACTTAACACTCCCACTTAGTCGTTAGGTCAAGCTCCCATCTGGAAGAATCTTTTTAAGATTTTTTTTTTCTGAAACACTTAATCTTTTTGAGATCCATTATGAAAAAAATTATAAAGAGTTCGTACTTTTTCTTTATATTAAATATTTTTAATCTACAATATTTAAGTTTGATGAGAGACTATTATACATCTGCATTTGCTCTAATTGATCATTTGCAAAATACAAAAATAGTTTAGTAAATTTACAGACATTCTTAATCGTACAACTCTTCAGGATCATGTTTTATATCCAAGTTTGTTGTGAATATATAAGTTTAGTAACAAAAATGAAAGGAATCCTGTTATTTATTTGTGTGGACTTTTGGCCTGTTAACTATCTTATCCTATATAGTATTATACAGATTTATTTATTTTAGTTTTCAGTTTCTTATGATTTCTCTATTCAATCATGTTGCCAATCAATACCATTGTGTAATTAATCTGCATCAGCATTATAACAAAACTAGGAATCATTTCGACAAATTGTACAATAATATTCAGTCGCAATTTTATTCTTCAACTTCATTACTTGTAAATGTACAATGAACTTAAAAACTTCATCATTCCACAAATTTAATTTAATGATATAGTGAAAGAAAATAAATCATTCAAATCTGTATCTATAAACCGAAACATTTGTTCCTCTGACCAATGTAGGACTAACTTACGTTTTTATTTGTGAGTTAAGATGGTTGAGTAAGACGTTGACAAAAAAAAATGATTGAGTAAGATTCCAAGCTTCCTCAACAATCAGTATACATATACATTTATTGTTTTCAATTTTGATTCAGCTAATCAAATATTGAAGGTATATGACAACTTCGACAAGGGATTGATCAAAATCTGCCACAATTATAAATGGAAAGCAAAGAACAGCCAAAAGACAAACACACATACATATTTGATTTCAAAAACTAGTCCATACTTCATAAACTGTAAAAAAAAGTTGTGTTGGTACATTTTGGGTGAATGGAATATATAATTTAATGTCAATAATATGACAAGAGGGGACCATAAAGATAGATATATGTCATATATCACATGATCTCTTTCTCTGGCTCTCTGAAATGGGCCTCAACTTCTCTTCCTCCGCATTAATTTGTCCCTGAAAAACATTCTGGTTCTGATATAGGTTTTTACTCGAATGTTTTAAGGTTTCTGTAAACAAACTATAGCAGCTACCATTACAAACATGAATTATTACTTACTAGATATAATAACACATAAGTTCTAAAAAAAAGATATAATAACACATAGTTTTGTTTCTGTTAAACTAAACACATGGATCTAAACGCATAGAACATGTTAGAAATTCCAAGTAATAGTCATATTATTATTCTGAAACATGCAATGTTAGAATATCTCACAAACAGTGCCATGGAGAGGGTTTTAGGCGCCTAAGGAAATTTTTTAAAATACATATCCACAACAATTTAAAAACAATTTTCTAATACAAAAAAAATATCATCTTCATCAAATACATAAGTCTAAACTGTAAAAAAAAATTGACCAAAAAAAACTGTAAAGATTTTTTTAACTGTAAAATTATTTATTATGTACATATGCTATAATTATATCATATTAGGAAAAATAGTTGAATTAAGACTAAAATCTAAACCACTTGACTATAAATTATTTTAATCCGGGACCTTAGATGAACTTTTTCAATACACTGTAGGCAAGGCTTGGCTCACAGACAGAGGTATTAATGTGAAAAAGTTGACAATTATAGAGACAGGGTAGGGACCAAGTGCGGAGGAGTTTTATAGGTAATTATTGTTGAGAGATTGCTCAATTATAGAAATCAATTCATAGACTAGAGTAGATTAGTAGACAACGACCTAACTGTATTTATTTACCGTTCATAAAAAGCCCAGTTGACTAAATAGTGTAATACGGCCCGTAACACCGATTTAGCTATCTACGCCCCCCTGGTCAAACTAATTAAAACGTTACATTGTATGTCCCCTAAGTACCAAGTATGATAATATAGTTAAGATTTTCTACTACTTTTTGGTAATGGAAATTGAAATTACTGTCTTCTTGAAACTGAACCTCAACTACGATCATCAACATGTAATCATTGTAATGTTTCATGCAAATATGCTTATCAAAGTTTCTGTCATTTGGTTTTGTTTTAGGTCTTTCACAGCTTTGGTCAATACCAACCATTGTTCTTTGAAGTGTCTGTAATTAGAGCTTCTCTGTGATATAGTTCACTACCAAACCGGAAAACAGAAAGACTGAGAGAGAGAAGAGAAGGCACATGAAACAAAGGTATCATTGCATTTTCAGGAGATTACAAAAAATAAAAGCCAAGAGTTTTCTCTATTGTTGAAATACAACATATGATACAACCACTTAGCCAAATCATCATGCTAAGCAAACTCAAAGCACATAATGCAGAACTTGAACCGAATAAAAATAACAAATCAGAAAACTTATGATTTAAATGAGATCTTAGGCTGAGACAAGGTGGCCTTGGCAACAAAAGCAAGCAATCACAACACCAACAAATGCTCCAGCAAGAACCTGTGAAGGAGTGTGACCAAGCAACTCTTTCAGCTTCCTTTGACTTATAGGATGCCCTTCAAACAAGTCCCTTATGATCAAGTTCAAAACCTAACATCAACAAAAAAAAAACAAAATTGTCATAAAACAAGATCAACAAAAAGACAGCAAATATGATTTAATTACCTCAGCTTGCATACCAGCATGACGTCTAACACCAATAGCATCATACATAACTATCAAACTAAACCCTAAACAAACAGGAAACAACGAATCCGCAACACCATGAACAAGCGCAACAGAAGTAGTCAAAGCCATACACAAAGCAGAGTGAGAAGAAGGCATCCCACCAGAAGCAAACAACAAACTCAAATCCCATTTCCTCTCAATAAAAAAATTAATAACCATTTTACTCGTCTGCGCAAAGAGCCACGCGAACACAGCCGAAACAAACGTCGGATTCGCAGATAGCGTCGCCACGAAGGGACTAATCTTAACCTTAGCAGAGGCAGTGATGCTCAAAAGAGCAATCCCGAAACCACCGTTCTGCTTCAAATCTCCGGAGAAACGTTCTGAAAACGCTGCCGTATCGTCTCTGTAAGCTCGGAAACGAGACATCCATTGCTGCCGAGACGAGACCAAGTCTTTGATCGTTCTGATGATTGGATTCGAGGAGGCTTTACAGGAGATGGTGGTGGTGTTGTGGAGAGAAGAAGGAAGCTTAAGGGAGGAGAGAGGAGAAGAAGGGTAAAGAGATAAGCTTGTTGATGACGTAAGCAGCGAGTCCATGAGAGAAAGTTGCTTAGCTTTTTAAGCGACATACAGAGAAGACTATAGAGACTTGGCGAAGAGAGAGATTGTAATTGTTATTACCAAATATTTAAGCTGATTCGCATAGAAATCGTGTGGTGGAGAAGAAGATGTTTTTCGTTTATATTTGTAACGGAAGTATCACTCGAGTGTCGTGACTCGGACATAAATGTCTAGTTTTGTTTTAAGTTCTTAACGGATGACTGTCCGAAAGAGACTTGATCATTTAATCAAGCCCACTATAAATGAATGCATTTTGTAATGGGCCTAATGTTTTATATTGGGCCTTTTAAAATTTAATAAGGTGTTTTGGGTATAAATGATCCTTTGGGATTGGGCTGCTTTAAGACCACATATGCGACAAAATAAAAAATTGGAGATGCGGGGAATCGAACCCCGTGCCTCTCGCATGCGAAGCGAGCGCTCTACCATATGAGCTACATCCCCTTGATGATTACTCGTCTTTGTAAGTATTCTCTAATTTAATAATTCATATGAATCAATTATTTTTACATTTCTAAAACTTGCAACATTTGCATTTTCCTAATAAATATTTATTTGTGGAAGGTAAAGGCAAAGATGATATTAAAACAGAAATTCTATGTTTTAATTTGCGTTTATAATTGACAAATATGTTTTTCTGTAAAATGTTAGAAGATTGTTGGTTCATATGGAATAATACAAACGAAAGATGAACATAATCACATGAACCGGGCTTCGTAGCCTGGTGGTAAAGGAACCTCGGCTGAGGTGCCCGCCATCCGACTTCGAAATCCGGCCACCACATAATTTACATGCGGAGTTGGTGTGGCGCTCCAGACCACTTAGCGTAACCAGGGACCCTTAAGTGGACGCTTAAAAATCCTGTCATGGCATGGGCTTAGGTCCGGTGGGCTAGTCGATCACGCTTAGTGGTCGGATACTGGATTATCAAAAAAAAAAAAACATAATCACATGCAAATCTTGTAAGTTGTAACCCAAAAACGAAAGCAAACAATCAATAATTAAATACTTCTGTATATGATTGGTGATCTCAAACTTATAATCATTGAGGCGGCAAAGATTTTTTGTACCACACTCTAATGAAAGTTTTATAAACTAAACCAAAAATGTTATTTAAATGTTACCTTAATTGTTAATAGTTTACTTTGTTTCTAAGTTCTGTTCCAATATCGCCTCAGCCACCACCATCCTTTACCAAATGCACACCTAATGAGTAATGATTCAGACTGTGACTGGTCCACTTCCCAGTCTTCCCCACTCTGGTCCAGTTATGACCCTACTCTCTCCCATCTCTGTCATCTTTTTCCCTCAAATTAATCAAAGTAAAACTCCATATTCTCAATATCTTATAAAGATTTCATTATTTTTCCAACCTCATATAGCAATTGACAATTGTTTTAACTGACAAAAAGCAATACTTTATCTGCGCATTTTGGTATATTTCTGTCGGTTCACGTGTCGGTTTATTGACAGAGGGGACATAACTTGTCTGTTACTCCACCAGTGAAACATCAACTCCACCCAGCATCTTTCTCAAAAATCCATTTTGGTGGATTATGATTGATCTCCATCTTCAACCACTTTCACCACCAAACTCAATCACTCTTCTTCTTCATTGTCCTTCTTCACCAAAAAAAAGCCTTCATTGTCCTTCTCTCTCCTATCTGCTTAAGCTCTTGGCCATGAGAACCCTCCTCGGATTCTACATCCTCTGTCTCTTACTCGGACAAGATCTTCCCTTCTTACTTGCAGATGACGTCACCCAAAACCTCTGTTTCTCAACTCGTTTATCTGACTTCCTCCCACCTCCGTACAGCAACATCTCCGACTCCATGCCGTGTACACCTCTCTGGAACACATTCGTCTTAAGGGTAACCTTAAAAACCATTCCTTTACACATTCACCAAATAAAAAAACAATCTTTCTATTTTAATCCACTTCCTCTGTTTTTTTTTTTTTTTTTTTGCAGTACTCTGAAAACAGAGACAATGTAATGACAATCATAGTCTCGGCTTTGTATACAACCGGGTGGGTTGGAGTTGGATTCTCTAAAGACGGGAGGATGGTGGGATCGAGTGCGATGGTGGGGTGGATTACGAAGAAGGGTCATGCTAAAATAAAGCAATACTATCTTCAAGGAACAGAGAGAGACCAAGTTGTGCCGGATCAAGGAGAGTTACAGTTGCAGAAAGTTCCTCCTGTGGTGGCTCTTCATGGAGCAATGATTTACTTGGCTTTTCAGGTTAAGTTTAGTGTTAAATTGCCTCGTAGAGCAGTGATTCTTGCGTTTAGTACAGCTTATCCTTCGAAGCTTGGGCGTTTGAGTAAGCATGATGATAAAACTACTGTCATCGTCGATTTCTCTAAAGGTATTGATATAGTCATGACTTTCTTGGTTTTTCATGGTTGTGTTATCAAACACCAACAGCAAAATGTAAACTGAGAATGTTCAAAAATGCATATGCAATTACATTTTTTTTGTAACAGATGCAATTACAATTTTACACATAATATTTTTTCACATTTATGTTTAATTTGACACATAATATTTTTTTACACTATTTTACACTATTTTTTACACAAAAAATTATGTATAAAATTGTGTCAAAATTTTTTTAGCAAGTGTAAAAAGTATTATGTATAAAAAGAATTTAGCAAGTGCATGGTAATGGTAATTTTTCACGTAATAAGTATTTTGCGTATGCATTTCTAATTTACAAAATATTTTGGTAGACTAATATTTCAAGTCCATATAACTTTCGAGTGATATCTGAAAAAAAAAATAGACTAAAATGGTGTAAAACTAATATTTTACATGCAAACTTGTATAAGTCCATGTAGTTAATCTGAAGTCTAGACTAGCTAAAAACAGGGGATGTTGCAAATACTTATGTTCTTGTGTTTTTTCTTCTTGGTCAATGCAGCAAATGGAGTAACAACGTCTATAGAAACGCCAGCATCTACGGAGAAGACAAAACATGGAGTAATGGCGATACTCGGATGGGGTTTCTTACTTCCTCTAGGGGCATTCCTGGCAAGATATCTCAGACATAGAGACCCTCTTTGGTATTATCTTCACATCGGTATTCAGTTCACTGGATTTATCTTCGGTTTAGCCGCTGTTATTCTCGGGATTCGGCTTTACAATAGGATACAACCAGATATACCTGCACATCGAGGCATTGGGATCTTTCTTCTAATCCTCAGCATTCTTCAGGTTTGAAAATCAAATATTGGTTAAATCACTTGTATAGTTGAACATGCATGCTTATGATATGTTTTGTAGGTTTTGGCTTTCTTTGCACGGCCGCATAAGGAGACAAAGATGAGGAGATATTGGAATTGGTATCATCATTGGATTGGGAGAATCTCTTTGTTCTTTGGAGCAGTGAACATTCTTCTTGGGATTCGAATGGCGAATAGTGGGGAAGATGGATGGAAAATTGGATATGGGTTTGTTTTGGCAGTGACATTACTTGCTTTTCTTGTTCTTGAAATATTCAGGATTCGTGGCTCTATTGGTTCACCTTCTTCTCACACACCTCCTCCTTTTGAGACACATCCAAGTTCTACTAGTAGTAGTGTCTGATTCAATATCATTTGTCTTTTGTCATTCCTTTGTTTATGTACATACTTTTTTTTTGGATTTTTGTTGGGTGAAGTAATTTTGTTGAGTGAAATTTGTGTTAGGCTAGCCTGGTGGAATTTTTTTTTATTTTGTTGAGTGAAGTAAGGTTTGTCATTTTTTTTTAATCTCTTTTTGTTGTCATTTTGACTTGTAAAGTGGAGTTTTCAAGGTTGCTCTTCATATTTTGATTTTTTTTTGGATTCTTCAAAAATGTACAAAACTAATCTGAGAGATTATATTGAACTTTTCTATACAAAACACATGCACAAATGAATATAAGAAAGACTAGTGGAAGCTACTCTTACACAATCAAAAAGCTTCAAGTTTCTAATATGCAAATTCTTTCCTCTTCTATGTAATATATAACTAATTAAAAAGCTACACTAGGCTAACCTTATGATTTGTAAGAATAATCTGCAAGATAGTTGAACTAGTTTTATAATAGAACATGTATGGATGTCAATGAATATACGAAGAACTATGCCAATTTAGATACATGTATTTTATATATTGTTCTGACTTATTAGATTCATGTATATTATATATTGTTCTGACTTTTTCTATCAATTTATAACTATTCTTCTACCTATCCCTTAGTGCCATGCCACATTATGGCCTTCTCAGAAAAAACCCTTCTCCTTCTCCTCCTCATCTTCTTCCTCTTTCCTCTCCTAAACGCCTCCTCACCCCCAAAACCTTGCCACACTTCTACATGTGGAAAAGGGAACGTAGACGTCCGTTTCCCTTTCTGGCTATCCTCCAAGCAACCTGAATTCTGTGGCCACACAGGGTTCAAACTCTTATGCACTGACCGTAACCAGACGGCCTTGGAGCTTCCTAACTCTGGACCATTTCTAGTCCGAGAGATCGATTATAGAAGGCAGCGAATTCGACTCAGGGACCCGGATAACTGCTTGGTTAGACGACTACTCAGCTTTGACTCTTCAGGGTCTCCTTTTTCTCTGTTTATTCCTAGTAGCTACACGGTTTTGATCTGTCCTAAGGACGAGAATGTCGCACCATCTTTCAGATCCATCCAGTGCCTTGGTAATTCCACCTCCTCCTTCTTTGTCATGCAGCCTGAACAAGTCAGTTTGATGCCGACATCTTGTCGTATCTTCAAGAAAGTACGTGACGTACCTCCTCCGTTTCCATTCCATGGTGACATAAGCCATCAAGACATGTGGCTCAAATGGGACTCGCCGGATTGTAGATATTGTGAGAGGAGAAGTTTGAGATGTGGAAACAATACCACAAGCCAAGTTCAATGCTTCAGTTCTGTAAATTCAGGTACTAATCCATTAATGGTTGAAAGCTTCAAATTGTTTTAGTTAATTGTTCAAGTTGGCATTTTATAATCACATTAAGTCATTGACTTTTATTTAATTAATCAGTCACATCTTTAAATAAGCAAATAGTATTTATATACACACAAGTTGCACCGTTGACAAGTTTTGTTGTTTTTGAGAAACAGGACTACACAACACAAGCTTACAAATACTAAAGATTATCTGCCTCTCTCTAATGGGACCACTCATCGCCTTGAGCTTCTGCGTCGGTCTTGTCTTGTGCAGTTCCGAGAGAGTCTCTTTCCAAATACAACATGCTATGGCCGTAACACCGGAGCCACCAAGCAACGTCCAAGTCACCATCACGAGGACGGGTCTCGATGAGTCTACGATCGAGTCTTACAAGAAAGTTGAGTTAGGTGAGAGTAGGAGACTCCCGACCGGGTCAAATGATGTTGTGTGTTCCATTTGTTTGTCGGAATATGCAACCAAAGAGAGTGTTAGGTGTTTACCTGAATGTGAACATTGTTTCCATGCTGAATGCATCGATGCGTGGCTCAAGTTGCATAGTTCGTGCCCGGTTTGTCGGAGCAATCCCTCTCCCGCACGTGAAAGGTGCAACTAACTTTGCATGTATGAATTGACTTTGTAACGTTTGTATATATAATTCGGTTTTTCTTGGATTCTCAAAAAATTAATGATTTTATAAAGGTTTGAGTTTTAGTGAATTATGCATTCGCTGACCATAATATATATTAGGCTTAATATGGGTTAAAACGAAGCCCAAAGCAACATCTTTATGTAACATCTGAGTTGTGATATGTGGAAAGGCTTAAAAAGATTGATTTGGTTACCTATGTAATTAAAGTGCACTTACTTTTTCGGGAGCACATCCAGAGAGAACTCCAGAGTTAAGCGTGTTTGAGTTGAAGTAGTCAAATGATGGGTAACCTATCGGGTAGTGATTTGCGATACCGTGTAAGTGAGGTCAAAGCACGGGGAAAGGTCGGGTAGTGATTGCAGGGTTAGTAAACATGACTCTAGAGCCTTGGAAAATTAACGGACCGGCCGTTGGAACGGGATGGGCCCATGGGCCGAGTGAACGAACGTGGATGACCCATTAGCCGTGGGCGATCGGGGCTTTACAGTTTAATTAAGAAAAATTCAATAAATGAATCCCTAACACAATAGTAAAACACATGATTTTGCAAAGCTCAAGAACGGATTTATGCAGATTCTGTAAAAAATCCAATGTTGGAAAGTTTATGGACGATTGAGGAAATATAATATTACATATAAAGAATCGAGACTACACTTTCTTCATAGCCCATGTAAACTGGAATTGTTCCATTTCTTTAGTTTAGGTTTCTGCAAGTATTGTGTGTATATATAGTGTATAATCAAGCCCTAAACCTAAACCTATAATCATCTTTTTACTGTATCAGCAGACGAAGGTTCGTCACCATTAGAACTTTTTTTTACTCCTTGTGCTCTTTCTTGTGGAAGAAGTAACTATAGAACTTTAAACTGTTTAGCGGTCAAAGGGTCAAGAATTAAGAGGATTTATTTTTAGTAGTAATATGACTCTTGTTTTAGTGTCCAAGTTAGGTCTTTCCACAATATTAACGAACTCAACGTGTTTCCAAATTTCTAAAAATTTATTTGTGTATATTTAGATCATTTTTTATTTGTGTTAATCTCTCTTCTATCTATAGGTTTTTGTTTCAGAGATGGCTGACTACTCCGTTAAGAAAATCTCTCCGAAGCTCGGAGGAGAAAGAGGAACTCGAAACCCTAATGGCCCAACTTCTTCACATGACCTCGTTGAGCCAATGGAGTTTCTTTACGTAGAACTAATCAAAGCCCTCAACAAGTCTGTCCTAAACCCTATAACCTATGCATGCGTCCCTACCGTAGAAATCACTCTCGGAAACTACCAGTCCACTACCAGAGGTCTACCAGTGGGACCAGACGGAGCCTGGAACCAAGTCTTTGCGTTCGACAAATCCAAAGCTGATGTCTTGTCAGTTGCCTTAAAAGACGGTAACACCTTGATTGGCAAGCGAAACTTCAAGTTGGCTGCTGATATTCCCTCTAGGGTTCCTCCAGATGCAAGACTGGCTCCTCATTGGTACCCTATATCGAGCACCGTGGAAGGTTACCACATGGAGTTGCTGATGTCGGTTTGGTTCGGTACACAAGCCGATGAGGTTTACTCAAACGCTTGGTTCGCTGACGCGTCTACTGTCCCTCCTAATAAAATGCCCAACACGCGACCTAAACTTTACTTATCCCCAAGGCTATGTTACGTTAGGGTTACAATTGTTTCAGGTCATGACTTACTTGCTACCGATCCAAAACGAACACCTAACGTTTACGTGAAGATAATTCGAGGTGAAGAGCCATATCAAGTCTGTTTAAAAACCGGTGTTTCCGCTGGTACGAACCCGTCTTGGAACCAAGATCTCACATTTGTAGCGTCAGAGTCGTTAGAAGGAACGGTCAAAATACGACTAATGGATATCATCAAACCGTCTGAGGAACAATGCATAGGGACATTAGAAATAAAACTCTCAGATATGGCAGCTCTTAAAGTTCCAGGAGCCGCACCAGCTTTATTCTACGACATTAAACCGCCCGGTAACACCTATCCGGAAGGCGACACGAGGCGGTTCTCCAGCACACTCAAGATGAGACTAGCCACTGATCAATCCTACCACGTCTTTGATGAATGTATCCACTACTGTAGCGATTACCGTGCCTTCGCAAAAGGGTTATGGCCCGGTACGTTAGGGAAGCTAGAGGTTGGGATTTTAGGTGCAACCGGTATACCTAAATTGAAAAACATGAACCACGATAGGAGCGCTTACGTTGTGGCCAAGTATGGGAACAAATGGGCGAGGACTCGAACCGTGGTTAATAACAAGTCGCCTAAGTGGAACGAGCAGTATTCTTGGGACATATACGAGATGTGTACTGTCTTAACGCTTGGAGTCTACGACAACCATCAGGTCTTAAGGGATGATAAGCTTAACGATGTTCCTATCGGGAAAGTGAGGATCCCATTGAGTTTACTTCAATGGAACAGGATCTACACTGGTTCGTACCCTATCTTGGTGTTTGGGAAAGAAGGGTTAAAGGTATCAGGTGAGCATATATATGACCCTATCTATGAAACAATAAAACATTCGTTTTGTCTTTCAATTTATTTAAAAAAAAATTAACCAAAAATTTTACTCATTCCGTTTCGATTTAATTGTCATTCTAGTGAAAAAACTTTGTTTCTAAATAAGTGTGGTTTTAGAGTTTCGAAGCAAAATTTATTAGTTTTATATGATATTTTATTTTCTATCGGTTGAAAAGTGGTTAGGTATATAGTTAATTGTGTTTTTGTCTTGAAAATGTTTCATTAGTATGTGTCTAAAAACTTAGAATGGCAATTAAACTGAAACGGAAGGGTAATAAATATCTATTTTTTTTAATCAAAATTCTTGAACAGTTTTTTTTTTCTATTTGATAAATGTTTATAAGTCTCTAAAAACTCAAATTCGGGCCATGCAGGTGAGATTCAGCTCGCGGTTCGATGTGCTTGTGCACCGCCAACGTTAATATTCTTTCCACCATCGTACGCATTTGCTATGGCTCCTTTCCGATTGCTGTTACCAAAGTCTCATTACAAGTCACCACTAGGGTTGCCTCAGGTCGACAAACTGCAATCATTTGCTATTGATGTGCATTGTCAGAACCTGGCGAGAACAGAGCCGCCATTGAGAATTGAAGTGGTTAAGGATATGTTGAAGCCCAAGAGTAAGGAGTTCAGTTTGAGAAGAACCAAAGCTAATCTCCACAGGCTTAATAAATTCTATGCGTGGGTGTCAAGCAAGTATGGTCTGTTAGATTCAAAGATCAGATCCACGACAGATAATACTCCTAAATGGATTACGTTTGCTGTCTGCTTTTGTGTTCTTTGGGTGCTTCCACATGTGTTGTGGCTTGTAATCTCGTTATACCCGTTATGCCCTGTGGGGTTCATTGTCTACGAAGCGTGCAAGATCTTGATGGAATGTTACAGGACGAGGAATGGTGTTGGTCCTCCTCCTCCTTTGGTTCTCTTCGACGCGAAGCTCTCGATGCTCGACCTTCCCAACAACCTTGACGAGATAGACGAGGAGTTTGACGCGTCGCCCGTCGACCAGAAAATTCTTAAGATGAGGTACGATAGATTGAGAGATATGGGGGCGGATGGGATGGTGTTTTTGGGGGAAGCTGCGGCACAAGGAGACAGGGTTTACGCGCTCTATACGTTATGTACGAAGAGTACAATCTTGCGGATTTGCTTAATGGTTCTGCTTTACGTGGTCTTGCTCTCCTATTACTATTGTTTGTTTGAGTTTCTGGTTAAGGCTTGCATTACCATCTCTGTTTTCAGATGGGTTAACTTCACGTTTGCTCGGTTGGATCTGCCTTCTGCCTTGAAGAATTACTTCAGAAGATTGCCTACCAATGAATACCTCATGATGTGACTTCTCTAATGATTATTTGTTTTTGCTTTTGCCCATGGATTTTTTTTTTTTTAGTATTTTATGTATTGGATGTGTTTGAAGCCTTAATTATAAGTAATAACTAATATGTTGACCGATATATATTGAGACAATGCCTTATTGTTCCATCAGAAGAAAAAGCTTATTTTTAACTCAGTCCTTGTAAACTGGATTCACCATACTCTCTTTGTTTTGGTAGATATATTGGAGAAAGAAGTCATGTTTATAAGACGTCAAGCCATATATATGGGCCAACTCTCTCAATCTATATAATATATTTATTTACTGTTTAGATGTTTGACTTTGAAGTGTATTTCATTTTTCTGATCATATCCTCTGGTTTTGACTCTGTAATTGGGTGAGGGTTTGCTGTTCAAAAAAAAAAAAAAAAAAAAAATTGGGTGAGGGTTTGAGTGGTGAGCTGAAAGTTCAAAGGGAAGGAACCATAGAATGGATGCTGCAATCATAAAATATATCTTATTTACAGATTAACAGCTTGTTCGTTTCCCTGTCTGTGACTTTGATCAGCACTAGCTGTGATGGTAGAAGGCGCTTATTAACTCAAAAAAATATGTTAAGAATTGATGTTAATGTATTTAGTCTCTGCAGTAACTATATTGCAGATTAAGGAGTTTTCTGTGTAGGAACAATGCAAATTCAGATGTTCCTTTGTCCTCCTGTGATCATTCTCCTATATATTTCATACCTTTCACATTGAAACCCCTTTATAGTATTTGCTTCTACCTCAAGTCTTGGACCAGACCAGAGTATCAATCAAGACTGATGATTGTTGGGCTTCAATAGTTCTATCGTAATAGGCCCAATAAACTAACAAAATAAGTTGCAATAAAAAAATGCACCAGCCGGGAATCGAACCCGGGTCTGTACCGTGGCAGGGTACTATTCTACCACTAGACCACTGGTGCTTGACGTTAATACATAGAAAGCCAACATGATATTATTTAAAGTTCATTCGACATGGGAGACTCCCTAAAGTACCTGTAAGAAGAGCTTTTCAACTCTCTTTGTATGTAAACCTCTTCCTGCTCATATAAAGTCTAAAAACTTGAAACATTATTAAGGTTGAGTGGGATGAGCTAGATAAATGCTGCTTGGTTGTGTACACACCAACAGCACTTACGAAGTGTAAGCATAT